TAATAAGATGTAAATGTGGTGATTAATTTAGCATGTTTCCTCCTGTAAAACTGGTGGTTTAAAATATTCTTTAGATTGTCTCCCAACTCCGAAGTCTACAATTATGTCTTAAAGTCTTAATTTATTCAATCTACTATCAATCCTACCCAGAGCATTTTCCTAAATTCCAAAAACTCAGAAATCACAGATTTCTAAGTCCTAGGTAAGGTTGTCATACGCCAAAGGAAAACCCAGTTAAGTGTGAAATTCCTACTAAATAACTTTCATAAACAAACAAACAAAACCTACCTTGCAAGGGATTCAAGTAACTAAAATGAATACTAGGCAAACCACTATAAAGAAACAAAAAGCTTACAACATATATTATATATGGTAGAAAGAGCAGGGGACTGGGAATCAAGGAGCTGCTCCTAGGGGCAGTTCTGCCAAAAGGTATTACTTTAAGCAAATGGCAAAATCTGAATATGATGGAATTGGACTAGATAATTTCAAGAATCCCTGCCAAATCAAAATGATTCTAAAGTCTCCTTTGACTTAAAAATCCAAATTGACACAAAATTCCACAAAAGCGTAGTCAGAGATGTTACTGCACACAATTGACAACAATGGCTTAAGCCTCTGCTAAATGAAATAATGGAATTTAGGTTATGCATTATTCTTGGAAAGTAGATAGCAAAGGATTTAGGGGCTGTATAGGCTTTTAGTTGTCTGATATTTGAGTAGACCTTGCCTTTCATTTGTTTCTCTTTAATTCTTCATCATAAACTACAAACTAAGTGACCAACATAGAGTCACAATTTTCTCAAATGAGAAAAACATATTTATGAGGGCCCAGAAAACACTAAAGATTCTCTCCCTGGATTTGAATAGGACCTTTCCTAAAACATTAGTATAACACCGATATGCAATTATGATTATGGTGCTGTGAATTCTCAACCAGATTACTCACTTTTTAGATTATTCTCAGCAAAATTTTAATCCAAGTTGGCTTCCTCCTGCTACCCAGAGTATTTCTTTGTCACCACCTTCTACCACTAGTAAGCATTTTTTAAATATTAGCCTACATAAAACACAATCAGAAAAATAAACCTATAAAAACATAAAATGCATTCCAAATAAAATGTTTGGAACATTTAGCATTTTGGGATAATATGACTGGAATGGAAGGGAGGTCTTCATAGTGAATGTTCTATTTTGATAGATAAACTATATCTAAACACTGTATCAGAGAGCTATGGACACTTAAGGATAATCTATTGTAAAGGTCTTGAGACCACACACTCTGATCAAAGAACTTCATAATGTATCTTGCTCAAGTTAAGTCAATTTTAAAACCATATATTTAAGCCATTATATGCATCAGTTTATTGTTCATTCATAAAACTAATTTCATAAGCACATAAATTATAAATTTGTTACAGTTAATGTTTCATTACCACCGTGAGAGGGGATCCTTAAAAAACAATAGTAAGTCCTATTGGTATAAATCCTTTTTGATTGTTCTTCTCAAACCAGTAAAGTTTTGACATTAGGCACGATTCTTTTAACACTTTGTATATAGTTTTTGAAAAAAAAAGTGAACATATCCACTCCACTGTGTTCTTTAGGAAAAAAGTAGCTTTTCCCAGTACAAGAGATCAACTAACTTGATAGTCTTTTCATTTCACAGAGCGTAATCCATCATTTTTTTAATTTGGTTCCTTAGATTATAAAGCTAAAGATGCTGACTCTTACGTAAAATTTTTTTTTAAGTTGTTACTGTTTCATTTTTTATTCTAAGGAACATCAAACTACATTTATAATCTTTGTGAAAGTTTTCAAATCTCATTCATTTTCATGATTCCAATTCCACTTGAGATTCTAAGAGAAAATCTGTGAATGCTTACTACATACTGAAGATTAGAAAAAATCTAGAAAGTTTACTAAACTGCAATTAGGATTTGGACCCAATGCAAATGTGCACACCATAAAATTTCCTATACATTCTATAGATGTAGGAAGTTTATTAATTATATTATTTTGTAAATATATATATAATGTATTTAATTTGATTTAATCACATTCCATAGGTTGAATTTGGGGGTTGCTTTTAAAGTGTTGAGAGTTTAGTGTTTATTTTTGTAATCCAACAACTTTATCCAAAAATGCAGAAAATTTTTCTGGCTGGCCAGGAGGATAACATTTCAGTGTTGATAAGTCCATTGACTGTAACAGCCCAGGAAGCGTGCTAAAACAAAAGAAGAAAAATATTAGGTAACATGGGAGAAAATTCCATACTTTATCTGCTGCCCACTGATGACTGAATCTAACTTCCAAGAATATAGTGGTACTTCTAAGAACTGCACATGCGAATTTGTATATATTTTAATATTATAAGTATACATACTAGGATTATTAAAGCAATACAAAGAGTACTATAAAATGTCAATATAAATTCAGCAGATACCTTATCTCCTATGTCAACTATTTCAGAAATGATATTTCATGAAAAATGTCTTCACATGGCTTTGTAATACTTCTCAGGACTGGGCATATTTAAACTGAAGCACAATTCATTCATGAGAACAGAATTTAAAAATTGAAACCAAAAATAATAGCTGCTAAACAAGATAATAAGCTGGGGAAACTACTAGACCACGCATGAAGATTGTGAAATAATCTTTGCCAGTAATTTACTATCATGACTTCATATATAATTAAACAATATACCACACCACCATGTATGCTAGAAATAAGCTTTTAAACATAGAACTATTACTTCAGAAATTTATTTAAACCAATCGCTTAAATTAGAACATACATACCACCCCCCAGCCTAGGTTTGGGGAAAATAAATGATTTACCAAAAATGAAAATATAACCAATTACTGGCTGGACGCGGTGGCTCATGCCTGTAATCCCAGCACTTTGGGAGGCCGAGGCAGGCAGATCACCTAAGGTCAGGAGTTTGAGATCAGCCTGACCAACAGAGAAACCCCATCTCTACTAAAAATACAAAATTAGGCCGGACATGGTGGCGCATGCCTGTAATCCTGGCTACTCAGGACAATCGTTTGAAGGCGGGAGGTGGAGGTTGCGGCAAGCCAAGATTGCACCATTGCACTCCAGCCTGGGCAACAAGAGTGAAATTCAAAAAAAAAAAGGAAAAGAAAAGAAAATATAACCAATTATTGACTTACTGCTTACTACTTTTATGTGACTTTCTTGAAATTAATATAGAAAAAAAGCCATTTAAAACTGTAAAAAAAATAAAAGAAAAGAAATTGGAGACTTGTACAGTTTCCTTCCTTTTCAGCATGAGTAAAAAATCAGGATATGTTTATGAAATAAATGTTTTCCTTTTAATGTGCTAACATAAAATCACAGCTGATTTAACATTTAGAATGAAAATACTAATTAAAAGTGTCTGGAAAAAATTGACTTGCATAAATCAGTTAGGAAATTAAGTTTATTCCTCTTTAATCTAGCTTCTCTCCTGACTCACTGAATAGTTCAAGACTGGCTTCTGTATTACACAGCTACCCTGACATTCCCTCTTCTCCAACATTATAGTGATAATGACACCAACAATTTTACTCCTGAAATAATCAATGAATCTTCCTCCTCTCAATAAGAACAGGAGTCTTTGTCTGTTTTGTTCACTGATGTATACCAAGTGCCTAGAACAATGCCTGGCACATAGAAGGTACTCAATATTTAATGAATGAATAAGTATTTACTGAGTGCCTCAGAGACAGAAGCAGTAAAACTAAAAGAAAAGCTTATGCTCTAGCCAGTTTCTTCTCAGGTTTTTTATTTTAAAATTAATTTCATTTTAACGTAAATAAACATATATACACACATATATAGTAATTCTATGAGGCATTTACTTCTTGAAACATCAAACTAGGATAGGTTTTAAAGTCAAACAATTGGGAATTACTGACCTGGCCCTTTGGCAAGCTTCTAGTGTCTCAAAGAAGAACTAATAGAAAACAAACAAGCAATTTTCTTCATCCTTCTATTACGATGATCAGTTCCTGTTGAATTCTAATATACTTGTAGAAAATAATACTCCTTACCATAATTTCTCTGCTTAAAATACTTCAATGGCTTCTCAATAAACATCAATAAAATCAGAACTCTTACATAAGCTACCCCCACCCAGCTTCATCTTCTATTATATTGCTATATTGCTCACTATGCTCTGGCAACACTAATCTTCCCTCTGTTCCTCAAGCACACCAAGCTCCAAGTTCATTCCTTACTTAGGCTTTTGCACTTGCTGTTCCTTCTGCCTCTAAATCGTCATATGATTGGCTCTTCCTTGTATTTCGAGTCTAAGATCAAAATGTTAGGTACTCTGCCAAGCCTTCTCTGACAATTCTAATCAGTCTTCACCCCAGTTACCCCATCACCCTGTCTTACTTTCTTCATAGTACATTTCACCATGTGAAATACCTTGATCATTTATTTGTGAACTTGTTTACTATCAATTTTCCACGACCAGAATGTAAGCACCATGAGAACAGGGACTTTATCTCATGTTTACTACTGTATCCACAGCACCTAAAACAGTGTCTTTTATATATTCGGTGTAACTGATTAAATGAAAGAGTAAACATAATTTACGGATTCTAGTGGATTTACTATAAGCAAAACTTTTAACTAAAATAAGCAAATGTCTTCCTTGAATAATGAAAATCTAAATAATGAACTCAAAATTTAGAACTCCAAAATTAGTGTCTCAGAGACATGCGCGTCTAAACACACACACACTCTCTCTCTCAGATATTCACATATGCAAAGAAACAGCCACAGATACACATAGAAATACAACACAGAGATTGCAAAGTGGGAGACAAACAAATGGGAGTGTTTTAGAGCTGAGAAAATCAAAAAGTTTGGTAAGTGGGAGAAGGTAAGAGGCAGAAGAGACAGATGAGGTAGGTAGGTGGATAAGAGGAACAGCAAGGGACGAATTAAAGCAAAAGATCAAAAATAATCAGTCTCTAGTATACCTGCAGGTACAATAAAAGAGATGACCCTCTTTGTGTAGCTGCTTTGCCAGTTCCAGCTGATGATTGTTCATCAACTTTTCGTTTATGACCACTACGAGTGGTTTTCCTTTTTCCAGAGCCTCCAAACAGCTTCCTGCACCTACAAATATAAATTAAATTTGTTTAACACAATTTAAAATAAGTTAAGGTCCCCACGAAGTTTTATACCTAGAACTCAAAAGTTAAAAAACTTAAGTTGACAGAACTACAAGCTAGGTCTTTCAATTATACATTCAAAATGACAAGAGTATAGTTATCAGTTGCTCCCTAATAAAAAGTGTTAGAAACTTTATTTGAAAAATACATTATTTTATCACTGATGATGACATTATGGCCTATGATTCAGTGCTATGCTACTTGCTCTCTAGTACCAATGACCCTCGACTTATGATGGGGTATAACCGCATCATAAGTTGAAAACAGGCTGGGTGCAGTGGCTGATGCCTACAATCCCAACGCTTTGGGAGGCCGAGGTGGGAGGATCGCTTGAGCCCAGGAGTTCAAGACCACTCTCAGCAACATAGAGAGACCCTGTCTCTGCTAAAAAAGAAAAAGAAAAAGAAAAATAATTAATACGGCATGGTGGCTGTGGTCCCAGCTACTGGGGAGCCTGAGGCAGGAGGGCTGCTTGAGCCCAAGAGTTAGAGCTTGCAGTGAGCTATGATTGCACCACTGTACCCCATCCTAGGTGACAGAGAACCCAACTCAAAAAAAGGAAAAAAAAAAAAAAAGCGGTTGAAAATATTCTAAGTAGAAAATGCATTTAATACACCTAACCCACCACACACGACAGCTTAGCCTAGCCTACCTTAAACGTGCTCAGAACACACTTATATTAGCCTGTGGTTGGGCAAAATCATCGAACACAAAATCTATTTTATGATAAAGTGTTGAATATCTCATGCCATTTATTGAATACTGCAAGTGTAGAACAGAATGGTTGTATGGGTACTCGCAGAGCAGTTTCTACTGAATGCGTATGTGTATTGCTTTCACACCACCATAAAGTTGAAAAACTAAGTGAAACCATTGTACGTTGGGCCATCTGGAGTATGCTTTGGGCATGGCCTTCAATGCAGATAAGATCGAGGTTTCACATACTGTATGTGAAATTATATTTCATTTCTATTCAACCCCAGGTAGAAAAGCAAGCCTACAATAGAGACAGGCAGGCATCAATAACGAAAAACCTTGACCACTTTGTATGGGTTTACATGTGAAGTGCTATGCCAGAAACAGTCAAGAATGGATTTCCATAAATATGCAAATATAAAATATTAGGATCAATTAAATTCTGAAATGTAAAACCATCTAGCTATTTTAAATGAGAGCAAAGAGATTGATACGTGAATAGATAAATCCTTTTTGGGTATCTTACGCTAGGGTGGTTAGTTAAGAATATTAACTCCGGAGGGGCACAGTGGCTCATGCCTATAATCCTAGCATTTTGGGAGGCCAAGGCGGGTGGATCGCCCGAGCTCAGGAGTTTGAGACGAGCCTAGCGTGGTCTCTAATAAATACAAAAAAAAAAAAAAAATTTTCCGGGCGGGGTGGGGGGGGCCTGTGGCCCCAGCCACTCATGAGGCTGAGACAGGAGAATCGCTTGAACCTGGGAGGCGGAGGTTGCAGTGAGGCGAGATAGCGCCATTGCACTTCAGCCTGGGCAACAGAGCGAAACTCTGTCTCCAAAAAAAAAAAAAAAGGAAAAGAAAAGAAAAAAAGAACATAAACTCCAGCACCAGATTGTTATCTGTCCACCACTTCCTGGCTGGACAAATTACTTAACCACTCTTGTGTCTCAGTTTCCTCGTGTAAAATGGAGATACTAACAGTACTTAGTTCACAGGATTGTTTAAAAGAGTAAAGTTAATATACACAAAGCATTCAGAGCAGTGCCAAAGGCTGTAACCTCCTAGGAGATACATTTTTTAATCACCAATCTTTTGGTAATGTCTATTTCTAAAGACTTTTCTCTCCTCAAACTAGACTTAAAAAAATAATAAATAAAAATAAACCTTCTTTAACAAGTCAAAACTGCATTGCTCCCCAAAAGCAGTTCTTCTGAATGCACTAGAAGTCTAATTAAGTAGCCCATCAGGGCGGTCCTCTGAAGAGGAAACAATTTACTCAGTATGTAGCTGTTACTATTTTTGACTGGATTCATTTCACTCACATTCAACAGAAGTGTAAACAATCTTACAATTCCACTTACTCCATGACCAATCCAACCAATCAGCAGGCAGAACACTCCTTTAGCTAAGCCCAAGTACTAATGTCAAGTTGACAATTTATTACACTTCACCGGGTGAATTATTTTGCCCCTCAGTGTTTAGGGTTTTTTATTGTAAAGATGGGCTACAGTGATTAATTTCCCATTCTTCTCTCACCCCAAAATACTAAGTTCTCTCCAATAAAGTTCTCAATTATCATATTCAAATAAGTTGTGTATTCAAAAAGGGCTACAGTGAGTTCAGCTAGCGATTTTATTTTACCTCGAAAAGGTTCAAGCGTCAGTTCCTTATTGGAGGGAGAGCATCAGGATAAAAAGCTAATGGATGCTGGGCTTAATACCTAGATGATGCACGGTACACGTTTACCTTTGTTAACAAACCCGCACATCCTGCATATGTTCCCCAGAATACCCCAGAACTTAAAAAAAAAAAAATTAAATTAAAAGACCCAACCCTGAGATTCTAAGGCACCTTTACCTGCGTGACTAATAACAAGATCTGCTTTCTGTATGTCTTCTTTCAAGGAATCCTTGTACCTGTAAACATCCAGAGTAAACGACTCAGTACTGAAGGGTTCCGGTACCACCGTTCCTCTACCAATTTGCAGGATAAGTCGGTTGTAACCGAGGCTCTCGATTTTCTGAAAGAGGAAATCAGAACACGAGGGCCTTTTAAACTGGCTATGTAAAACAGAGCAGGAACCACCATCACTACTCAAGTTTGACGTTAAGACCGGAGCACGGCCGCCAAAGAGCCTACCTGTGGCCAATTTCACTTAGTTTTCAAAACTAAAGTATTCTCCGGTCCGGGGCCCGACGAGGAACCTCCCGAGCACTCGTGAATCTAAGCGACCCAGCTCGCAGAGTCCCGCGAAAGCCACAGCAGGAAAAGACTTTGGAAAAGGAGTCGCACACTCGGGGGGAACCCAGGGACTACCCGTTCTGCCTCACTTGCTGAACTGCGAGAACCGGGAGCCCTGAGGGGACCACGCGCGCTGAGGGGAACCGCGCGGGCTCCGGTCAAGCGCTGAGGGGAAGGAGCCGGGCTCTGAGGCGAGCTCGGCTGACTGAGACGCCGGCGCCGACGCGCGGTCCACAGGGGGGCTGAGGAGAAACTGCCTAGCCCGGTGGAAAACCCGGGCTCGGAGGGGCGGAGCCGTTGGAAGGAGGGGCGGAGGACGCGGAGGCGGAGAATACAGCGCGGGGGAAGCCCGGGAAAGGAGCCGAAGAAATGAGGGAAAGGAACGGCCTGGGTAATGGGAAGAGGAAACATGCGACCCCGAGTAGCCGGGTAGCCGAAGGGCCCCGCCGGGCGTAGGCAGGAGCCAGCTAAGGGGCAGCGGCACCTGTGGTAGAGTTGCGGGGGTTTCTTTCCGAGCGTGACGGTCAGGCAAGGCTACCGCGGCTGGCTTAGTAAGGCCGGAGACGGCGGGTGGCGAGCCAAGCCGCCGCCTGCTCGCCTCCCTCACTCACTTGCAGACTGTCGGGCGCCGACACACACGCAATGAGGTCGTCAAAGCTGGTGGTCCCTACGGTAACGAACACGCACTTCATGGCGCGGGTTCCTCAAGCCCTGATCGCAAGGGCCGGATGTGACGCAACTGAGGCCACGCACGTTGCAGCGGCTGCCTTCTGTGAGGGAGGCGGAAATCCGTAATGGCCGCCAGGGGGCGGAGGGGCCCCGGGCTGTGTCACCGGTTGGGTGGGGCAAAAGTCTATTGGTGGCCTAGGTGCCAGCCACTCTTCTAAGCCCCTTTATGTGTAGGAGCCAGCTCCTGAGACCCCTCACTATAAGGGAATGGGGAATTGCCAAATGTAATTAACTTTTTCAAAACTGGTGGGTAGAAAAACACCATACTCTTAAGTATTGTGTTGGTGTCATTGCGTGGGTACCACAATCTTTTAATGACAGACAAGTTTGAGATTTTTTTGTTTGCTGCCAAGTTTTGTCAAGATACATTTAAGAGATGGTTTTACTTCGAGTTGGCTAAGGGAATATCAGAAATAAAAGTGCCTTGCCAGGCACAGTGGCTGTAATCCCAAGCTACTGGGAAGAACCACTTGAGCCCAGGAGTTTAAGACTAGCCTGGGCAACATAGCAAAACCCTTGTCTCTTAAAAATATTATTTTTTAGGCCAGGTGCCAATGGTCAAGTATGTAATCCCAGCATTTTGGAAGGCCAAGGCAGGTATATTACTTGAGGTCAGGAGTTCCAGACCAGCCTGGGCAACATGGTGAAACCCTGTCTCTCCTAAAAATACAAAAAGCCAGGCATGGTGGCAGGTGCCTGTAATCCCAGCTACTCAGGAGGCTGAGGCAGGAGAATTGCTTGAGCCCAGGAGGCAAAGGTTGCAGTGAGTCCAAGATCCTGCCATTGCACTCCAGCCTGGGTGACACAGAATGAGACCCTGTCTCAAACAAACAAAAAAATGTAATTAGCCAGGGGTGGGAGCACCCACCTGTGGTCCCAGCTAGTCAGAAAACTGAGGCTACAGTGAGCCATGATCACACCACTGCACTGCAGCCTGGACGACATTGAGACCCCATCTCGAAAAAATTTTTAAAAAACTAAAAATAAAAGGCATCTTATAAGGTATGGGGTCTTGCTCTGTTGCCCAGGCTTGATTCTAACTCCTGGGCTCAAGCAGTCCTCCTATGGCAGGCCATGTCTCACTAACGAAGGCCTCCATAACAACTGTTTCAGTACTGAGTGGTGAAGTTAATATTAAAAGCTAAAAAAAGTCAGTGCCCTTATACAAAGGCTGGAATGTAACTAAAGCCCACCAAGAGTTTTGCCTAGGCCTTTCCTGGACCTTAAAACGTGACAAAATAACAAAGGAATTATTGACCCATTCAGGATTAAACAAGTTTTATTGTAGGTCTGAAGAAACTCCCCCCAGGGCTCCACAAACAAGTTTGTTGGGAGTGGAAGGAACTCTCCAAACCTCTGTGATTTAGCAGGAGGCAAGATAAGGGTAATCACGCCAGCACCTGGACTCATTTAGGTTTTTTTTTTTTTTTTTTTTTTGAGATGAGTCTCGCTCTCTCACCCAGACTGGAGTACAGTGGCATGATCACGGCTCACTGCAAGCTCCACCTCCTGGGTTCATGCCATTCTCCTGCCTCAGCCTCTGGAGTAGCTGGGAATACAGGCGCCCACCACCACGCTCAGCTAATTTGTTGTATTTTTAGTAGCGACGGGGTTTCACTGTGTTAGCCAGGATGGTCTCGAACTCCTGACCTTGTGATCTGCCCGCCTCGGCCTCCCAAAGTGCTGGGATTACAGGCATGAGCCACTGCACCTTCCTGGACCCATTTAGATTAAGTAAATTTACTGAGGTTCCAGAGGAAGGTCTTCAAGATTCAGACCTTATTTATAGATTTTAAAAAGTTAATCACTTATGTCTTTAGATGAATGCACACTTACATGTAGACATATAGCTTAGAAGGTATATAAGCTCTGGAAATCATCGTGATTTTGAGTTGGTCTGGTGATAATTTCCAGGCCTTCTCCCTGTAAACAGTTACAGAAATAAAAAACTCTCTTCCTCCCCAGTTTGTTTGCATCTTGTTATTAAGTCACGAAAAATAGTAGGCCCACCCTCAGTTTGGTCTGAGATCACTCCCGTCTCCGCCTCTGCTTCCCAAGTAGCTGGGCCTACAGGTGCATCAAAAGTGGCTTTTAGAAAATCACTTTAACTGGCTGGGTGCAGTGACTCACACTTGTAATCACAGCACTTTGGGAGGCTGAAGCGGGTGGATCACAAGGTCAGGAGTTCGAGACCA